TAACTGTGTGTGTGGGGGACCACTGTTTTAGCAGCAATTAGTGACAGAGAATTCATTCAGCTGTGTTAGTGACAAATAATGTTAACTGTCCCCATTATCAGCTCACTTTCCCATATCCACTTATGATTTCCCAACATCACCACAATGTGACTTTTAACCATTGGTTTTACATGGCAAACATTTCTTCTGAATTTCCCCTCATCTTGTGTCCTGCCAACACACGTCAATGTGTTTGTCTTCTGTGTGACAGGGAGAGTTTTTTTGTTGTCTTGTCTACTCAAGATTACCTGATCTTGCCATCCTGACATTTTTAAATGGCCAAGTTCAGCTTTAAACAGCATCAGTGACCGCAGGTTGGATCTGTAGACACTGTAAAGTCTAGTTTGGCCCTAAGAAGGTATTTAAATGTGGGTCTCCCAGGTCATAATCCAGCAGTCAAACAGCTGTGCTGCACTAGCGGTACTGTATTAAAGAGGTAGTGCTTGCAATTGTTTGGCTACTTTGGCCACCAAATGAGAAGGGAGCACTCACTGGAGAAGGTCAAAGAAGAAAGGGACGGCAAAGGATGAGGTGGTTCGACAGTGTTATTGAGGCAACAAACATGAGGGCCTGGCGTGATGTGGTCCATGGGGTCGCAAAGAGTCGGACTCGACTGTGTGACTGAACAACAACAATTAAACCCATACAAAAAAATCTTAGCTTGTTTCTGCTCCCAGTATGGTTACCAGCCTCCAGGTGGGAACTGGAGATCTCCTACTATTACAACTGATCTCCAGATGACAGAGATCAGTTCCCCTGGAGAAAAATGACTTCCTTGGGGGGTGGACTCTACGGCATTGTGTCCTGCTGAAGTCCCCTCCTCCCCAAACTCTGCGTTCCTCAGGCTCCACCCCCAAAATTCTCCAGGTATTTCCCCATGCAGAGCTGGCAACCCCAGCCCCCAGCAGAAATTAGGATTATTCCCCCTCCTGTTCCTCTAGTCACTGTGTACAGCTAAAAGTATTTATTATCCTGTTTTAGGGGGGAACTAGAAGTTAGACACAACAGACCTTTTCTTTCCTTCATAAAGTTATAATATTCTGCACCCACAATGGAGATAATTTAAGACAGTATTTTCGTCTGTGGGTTTCACTAACATAAGCAAACCACTTCAGCTTTGTTTATGTGGCTCTCTGTTGTTGCCAAAAATCTTGATTAAAAGTATACCAAATGCACTGGAGGTTTGAACAGACATAACTCTCTCTGTCTGGTTTTGTGTTTCTGCAAAATTTTATGTTTTGTATCCATTGATTACCCCATAGTGAAGTAGGAACCACAGAGAAATTGTGAAATTGTTCTTTCCCTACTTGGTTATTTGAAGTTTTCCTGTCATCACATAGAATAAGTTTAATATTCTAGGTGCAGTGGGTTTTCTTCTTTGTGTTTACAACTGAAAGAGGAAATAATAAAAACCAATTTCAGAGCAATACAGTTTGGATGAGGAAGATGGAAGTCAGATATTGTGCCATTTTCATCTATCCTCCACTATACTTTTTAATTTCTGTTGCGATAATTAAGCTAAAATGAGACAAATAGTTGTCGAATTCATGTCACTACTTTACACTGAGATTTGTACAGCATAGGCATATATTACATTTTATGCCTTGGTTGCTGTACCAAGAGGTACTGCTTGCAATTGTTTCTTGGCAGCTGAACAACTGCCTCCAAGCAGTGCCTAGAGTTAATTTTCTAAACTTAAGAGAAAATACACTGAACAGTAACTGTAGCTTATGGGTTGGAAGCCTCCAGCAGTGGATTGCTGCTCACAGAAGGGGAATCAATACTCACTGATTTCCCCTTTCCACAGCAGACATTTGACTCACCCTTCATGCTGTTCTGAGGGGTCCTCTGTCCCTCCCACACTCCTGAACAGAGTTTGGGGAATATTCCAGGCTGCGCTGAGACTGGGTGGTGAGAAAATTCTGTTCTGCTGAGAGAAAACCTATAAATCAGTGGAAATTACTGCTGGATCCAACCCCTCTCTTGTGTAATGTAAGGAAACTTAGCAGCTGTTCCAGGCTAAATCTAGTTTACTTCAGGATGACTGTCACACCCATGCTGCATGCCCAGATGCTCGTTCCTCATCTTCCTCAACCTGTCCCAAACAACTATAAGGCAAACTGTGGTGTGCCATTTCTAGTACAATGCAACACTGAAGCCATTGCTGATTTAGGTGTAATATCATTCCTGGTTTATCCATTAGCTATTGGTTCTTTCTTTTCCAAAGGTTATAGTGAGACAGCAATAGGCTGCAAGCTAAAATTTATGTCATGTGGTAGGAAATTGGCAGGAGAAAGGTTCTTTTTTTCCCTTCCAGTTGTTCCAGCAGCTTTGCTTTTATTGCAGTCTTTTTATTGTGTAGTTAATAACCCTCTATGAAGAAAAACCTTTTTAAAATGCTTGTGTCCAAGAGTATATGTTTGCATTGCATTTTGATTCAGCGGAATTAGTGGGAAAGATATGCATAACATTAATAATTTTACAGAGAAGAAGATTAACAATGGAAAAACAAGTCAAAACAAACAAAGTAATGAAACCATGGTACAAGGCCACCCCTACTGTTTAGGTCTAAAGTATGCAACTAGGACTTAAATAGTGTTTCATCTATAACTCATTTGCTTATACATACATAAAGCCTGGAAAGTCTTCAGAATTCTTACTCCATCAATATAGCACAGTTTCTTCAGGATGGCTGCAAGAAGAGAGGTTACGTTCAGAAATGGTGTTTCCCTTGGTATGCACTGGTCAGTTGGTTCTTGGGACAGCTGGGCTCACTGGTTGCCACATTACCTGTATTTACTTGAAAGGAAGACAACCCGGAATATAAGAAGACACACCTAAAAAAAGTTATACACCAAGAAAAAAAAATAAACTGGATGTAACTGTGATTTGTATGCCAATGTAATTTGACCCTCTTGAGACACCCCTTCTCGGCTCACACAGAGTGCCTACCACCCTCAACGACCTCTCTCAGGTTCGGGGATTATCAGCAGGTCAGGATGTCACAAGCTACCTTTCCTGTCTCTTTTAAAATATACAGAGAGCCATGACCATTTCACACCTCAGGGTCCTCTCTCTGACTCCCAGAGACATCCACAGACAGGGTAGCCAAGCCCCCTTTAATAACAAGCCCTCACTCACACAGAGCTATTGGGGTTGGAGCTCAGACACTGTTCCAATTATCTCTGTCAGCATTTATTCATATACACACATACACATATACAGAGATATTAAAGTGTGTGTGTGTTTCTTTGCCTTAGACACACAGCCCATAGGGTTAAACAAAACAAACGTTAATCTTTATTTATGGTATTAACATAACACTGAGGAAAGTAAGGTATAAGTAAAAACATTTTGCTTCCATTGAACTTTTGAACTGCAGTACTATTCCTGCAACTGGGATCCTTTATTACAAACTGACTATTTTCAGCCAGCTCTTCTGCACGGTTCCACTCAGGCATCCTCCTTTTCCCCTGTCAGCTTCCAAGCTGCCAACCCCTAACTGCTATTCTTAGCTGCCAACATTCCAAAAGCTCTCAATAGTCACTCTTAGGAAGAAGTGAAACTTACCCTGTCCATCACACCTCTTTTTAAAATTATTTTGATGGCATACCGGGGGGGCACGACGACGACTAGTCTTGCACTGGAGTAAATACTTCAATTGTATTCTCCCATCTGTGGATAGAAATAATTTGTTGATAGCTGGATGGAAATGTGAAACTGATGTGTATGTCTTGGTACTTAAATTTATTGTATCTATAAAAAGCAGGCAAACATTTCTTTTAGCATATTGTCCCGGAAAAGAGGATTAGGAATCATGGGGGGGGGGGGGTTCCCTGCCTTCAAGCTCTTGCTTTCTATGGCAGATGGACTTTGAGGAGCCTACAATATCAAGGGCAGTCTAAACTTGATCACATGAAGACCTAAAGTGCAATTTAAGATGACTGTTCATGACCATCCACTTACCCCTACTCTGTGCTATAGTTGCCATTTATGCTGACTTACACTTGTCACATACTGATATGCTTCTTTACACTATCACCTTTAGGACACCACTCCAACCACAGTTTGTTAAGGTAATTAGTGGTGTGCTAAATGTCCTTAAATTTAGTAAGTGCAAATCTTATTGCTATATTTTCAGCTGAAATATAGTAGTTTAAAAGTTGTTTTCGTAGCTGATAGCTAAAGTGTGTGTTATCCCTGGATCACAAAGGCCATACAGATCAGACATTTCTTTTTTTCTTAATTAATTTATTTATTTATTTATGGTTTTTTAAAGTTACAGGACAGAATAAAAAAACAATCAAATATTTACATTTATGTTTTCGTGTACAGATCCACATTTCTGACTGCCCAAAATATTATACTGAAGGTAACTCTATATGATTTAGGTGAGAAAAAAATAGAAGCAATATTGAACATAGGGCTAAAAGAAGACTGTAAGGGAAATTGTCATGTATGTGGTCACATTTGCTATATTTTGTGGGTTCCTCTAACATGTTTTGTTTTGCTAGACCTGTAGAAGATGCAGTGGAGTTCTTGGAGTTGGTTCAAAAGGGCCTACAGTTAAGAGTCAAACATCCAACACTTGTACATGCTCATTCATCCCGTTCTCATCTTGTGGTAACTTTGACTATCACTACAAAGGCTGACTTGGAGGATGGGTTTGGTAAGTATCTTGTCTGTACCAAATCTCTAAAATTATCACAGAAGCCACATCTCTCAGTGAAGTAATTAGCAAACATGTTTTAATATTAATGCTGAATTCCAAATTAAAACCCACTGACATTCCCTCTCCTTTTACTTAAATGAAGGCTGGAAATATAACTGAGAATCACCCACTAGGGGTAATTCTAGGAAAGACAGACATTCCTGGTTTAAATTTGGGGGTTTCCAATTCAGATCCAAATGAGATTAGGCTTCCTAAATTTATTCCTCACCCACCCACTCTTCTCAAAAGATCTACATAGCTTGCCTCTGTAGGCATACATCTGCAAAACAGAGTCATTATAAAACCACTTAGCATTCCAGTATAAATCTGCATTTAGGCTGCGTTCAGACGGGCACTTTAATCCACTGTTGCCCTGCCTCTAATTGAGTCAGATTATTTTGTGCCAAAGAATCCTGACCAGACTCACCTCTTTTAGCATGCTTCAAAGCGCTTCTACTGGCCCTGGAATGATCAGACAGCAGCAGGCATGGAATCAGCCCGTCAGCCATTTTTTCAAAAAGTTGGTCTTTGGAGCATGCCCACAAGCACGGATGAGCCTGCTGGGATATGTAGTTTGTGGGGCTGTCGGCCATTTTCTTAAAAGTTTTCCTTCTGAGCATGCGCTCAGGTGCTTGCTGAGAGTGCTGAGATATGGAGTTCACTGCCATCCTCCCTCTAATCTTTTCAATTTACCCCTTCCCCGAAGGACAGAAAAAAAGCTGAAGAACAGAGGTGTCTTTCTTTTAGGGTTTTTAAAAAGAAAACAAAGTTTTGAGCAAACTGCCCGTGTGAATGCAACCTTACACTATGTAGTACTATATTGCCTTTTTAATACTGGCCCTGTACTGATTCTGTACTGATTCTACTTCCAGGTTTCAAACTGCCCTTAAATCATTATCCAGCTTTTAAAATATTACTACTTTTAAATTCATCTTTTTAAAATTATGCCGCCAACAGGGAATAGAAAGGGATGAACAGGGAAGAAAAGGGAAAGGAAAAAAAATAGCCAGTCAATAAATAAAACAAAAAAAATGGGGAGATGAAGGTAAAACTTATCTCAACAATCACAAATAAATACTGTATCAAGCTTCATCAAGCTCTAAAAATCATCCCAAATGTAACAATTTCCTCGCTGCATCTTTGACTGCTAAATGCTGCTTTTTCCTTCGCTGCTAAATTCAAGAAGATCTACTAGTTAAGAGTACTTATTGACTAGTGTTATTATGTCACAATCCCTTTAACCAGTTCCTGGTGCAGGGTACCCTTTGTACATCTGAGAGTTACTGCACGTGTGTGCAAGCAGAACAGGTTGTATAATTACTCCATATTAAAGGGTCATCATCGGTCTAACCTAGAAATTACACTAAACTAAGCTTATTTCATTGTTGTGGGTTAAATTTCTTCATTCCGCATTCTGTGACAACTTCCCTGGGCAGGTGATTGTTCTAGTCAGAAGCTGAATAAAGAACATTTCTTCAACTGTCCGTACTCTGTGAACGATGATAAGCCCACCTGTCCTTCCAGATCTTCTTCACCAGCCCAATTTCTCAGTGAATCTACAGAGACACATAAGCGAATGAGAACAAAACTTCAGCTGGTAGATTTGGCTGGCAGTGAATGTGTTGGTAAGTCAGCTATGGGGCAAAACAATTCCATGTTTGGGACCAATTTGTGTTTTGTTTGTTTGTTTGATTACTTCATTTCTACCCTGCCTTTCTCTCTGTTGAGGATCCAGAGTGGCCTACATCATTCTCCACTCCTCTTTTTTATTCTCACGACCCTATGAGGTGGGTTAGGCTGAGTGTGTGTGACTCGCCCAAGGCCATACAGCAAGCTGTAATGAAGAATACCCTACTCGAATAGCAGTTTGTTCAGTACAAGGCCTGTATCAAAAATTGTTGGGGGGAGAAGTTAGTGGGGCAAGGAGGGTTTAACACTTTCCCCCTGTACCTTTTCTATGATTTAAATAGCCCCTCTGGAGCTGCAGTTAGCTGCATGGGAACACAAAGACAGGCACGAGTGTTGAACGTACCTTTCTCTTCCTACAGGGTTTAGAATAACCTAAAAGGGGTATTTAAATTATGGAAGAGTCATGTGCGAGGAAAGGGTTCATAACTTCCTCCCCTAGCAACTTTTCTCCCATCTTCAAAGCAGCCACAGTTAGCTACAGTTGATAGTTATCTTTAAACTATCAGTTTAAAGTTAGCCACAGTTGATAGTTATCTTTTTTTAAAAAAGTTAGAAATTCCATGAACTCGCCTCAGACTTTTACTTGGCCTTCATCTGCTTTCAAATGAATACCATAAACTGTTTAATTCTCCAAAGTACAACTACAGAGCTCCAAGGGAACCTTTAAAGTTTTGATAAACAAATAAGCCTTGTTCCTGACCTGAGTTCATCTTGTGGGAGTGTGAGAAGCAACAGAATACCAAGATGGCTTCCCCGTCTCTTTCCTACCTTAATGTCCAGTCATAATGCCCATATATAAATCAATGGTGGGACCTCATTTGGAATACTGTGTACAGTTCTGGTCACCACACCTTAAGAAGGATATTATAGCTTTGGAAAAAGTGCAGGAAAGGGCAACTTTATCACAGGATGTTTTAGCTGCGATTTTATGGTACTGTATTTATATGTGTAATTGTTGGTTTTAACTGTATGTTGGTTTTAAATGGTTTGTAAACCGCCCTGAGCCGCTTTTGCGGGAGGGCGGGGTAAAAATTTAATAAATAAATAAATAAACTAGAATGATCAAAGGGTTGGAACACTTTCCCTGCGAAGAAAGGTTAAAGCGCTTGGGGCTCTTTAGCTTGGAGAAACGATGGCTGAGGGGGTGACATGATTGAGGTTTATAAGGTTATGCATGGGATAGAGCAGGTAGAGAAAGAGGTACTTTTCTCCCTTTCTCACAATACAAGAACTCGTGGGCACTCCATGAAATTGCTGAAAGGTCAGGTTAGAACAGATAAAAGGAAGTACTTGTTCACCCAAAAAGTGATTAACACATGGAATTCACTGCCACAGGAGGTGGTGGCGGCTACAAGCATGGATGGCTTCAAGAGGGAATTAGATAAGCATATGGAGCAGAGGTCCATCGGTGGCTATTAGCCACAAGGTATAGATAGGGACTCCGGGGCAAGTGATGCTTTGTATTCTTGGTGATTTGGGGGGGGGGGAGTCAATGGCACCTGGTATTTTTGGCCATTGCGTGACAGAGTGTTGGACTGGATGTGCCATTGGCCTGATCCGACATTGGCTTCTCTTATGTTCTTATGAGCAGATGAAAGGCTAAGCTTATGTTCAAGCTAAGAACATAAGAACAGCTTGGTGGATCAGACTAGTGGTCCATCTAGTCCAGCATCCCGTTTCGCACAGCAGCCAACCAATTGCTCTGGAAGGTAAACAGGGCACAGAGGCCAAGGCCCTCATCTACTGCTGCATTCCAGCACTGGTATTCAGAGATTTTCTGTCTGTGGATAAGGAGGCTCCCTTCAGTCACCACGGCAAGTAGCCATTGATGGACCTCTCATCTATGAATCCGTCTACTTCCCTCTTAACACTGTATGCTCATGGCCATCACTACCTCCCCTAGCAGTGAATTCCAGTTTAATTATTCATTGAATGAAGACATATTTCCTTTTGTCTGTCCTGAACCGATTTCTCAACAATGTCACTGGTTGCCCCCGATTTGGTTGGCAGTGAATGTGTTGGTAAAGCCAGCCTTGGGGCCACGCTTTGCATAATTTTAAAACTCTGTCTCCCCTTAACTGCCTTTTTTCTACACTGAAGAATCCCAGATTCTCTGGCTTGCCGTATAGGAAAGGCACCCCAACCCTCTAATCATCTTGGTTGCCCTCCTTTGTACATTATCTAGTTCTGCAATGTTCTTTTTGAGATACAGTGACCAGAACGGCTCCTCAAAACTTTTTTTTAAAATTTATTGTCAGTTTATATTTGTTTTGCCAGAACCTGTGCTCCTTTCTATTCTTGTTGATAAGGGAAACCTTCCACTATTGATTTATTTGATTTATATCCCGCCCTCCATGCCAAGGCAGGCTCAGGGTGGCTTATATAAAATGTATATATAAATACAATTCAAATCCATCATAAAAACAACCAAAAACCATAAACAAATCAATTATCCTAAAGTGCTGGAATAATATTCAGACAAAGTTCAAAAGCAGAGAATATCAAGATTAGACAATACTCCATAGGTGGCAATGATGAAGGTATTCCTGCACCAGCTCCATTGAGCTACATATATATATATGGCATGGGTGGGCTGAAGATGGTAAGACCAGGGCACAGGGACACTCCTTGATGTATGATGCGGCTCCTTCATTGAATGCTGGTAAAAGAGCTCCGTCTTGCAGGCACTGAGGAACTGTAAGAGGTCCCAAAGGACCCTGATCTCTTCCGGGAGCTCGTTCCACCAGTATGGAGCCCTGGAAGGGCCAACCGGTTTTGGGCCCCTGGAAGCAGTGCTCTCTGGGAAACATATGGAGAAAGGTGGTCCCTTAGGTATGCCAGACCCTGACCATAAAGGGCTTTAAAGTTCAAAACCAGCACCTTGAAGTGAATCCGGTATGCTATTGGCAGCTGGATGTGTTCCCGTATAGAGAGACCCATCAACAGCCTGGCTGCAGCATTTTGCACTAGCTGCAGCTTCCGGATTTGTGACAAGGGCAGCCCCATGTAGAGAGCATTGCAGTAGTCTAACCTCGATGTGACCATCGCGTGGATCACTGTTGCCAAGTCGCTATGCTTGAGGAAGGGAACCAGCTGCCTAATCAGCCGAAGATGATAAAAGGCTGACTTGGCAGTGGCTACTATCTGGGCCTCCATTGTTAGAGGCATCCAGAAGCACTCCCAAGCTCCTAACCTTCGGCGCTGGCAGTAACTATGCACCATCGAAGGTTAGGAGTGGGATCCCTACCCTCAGGCCACCCCGGCTCAGGCACAGGGCCTCCATCTTCATCGGATTCAGTTTCAGTCGACTCAGTCTAAGCCAACCAGCCACAGCTTGTAATGCCCGGTCAAAATCTTCTGGGGTAGAGTCAGACTGGCCGCCCAACAACAGATAGAGCTTGGTGTTATCTGCATATTGGTGACACCCTAGCCCATGCCTCTGGGCAAGGGGGCGTATATAGATGTTAAACAGCATCGGGGAAAGTACTGCCCCCTGAGGCACTCCACAAATCAGTGGGTGCCTGCGGGACAGCTGTTCCCCTAGTGCCGCCCTTTGTCCCCAACCTTAAGGAAGGATGTGAGCCATTTTATTTATTTATTTATTTATCTTTGGATTTATATCCCACCCTCCCCAAAGGCTCAGGGCAGCTCACAAGGAGGCGTAAATGCAAGGCAAGCCCCTGAACTCCAGAGTTGGTGAGGCAGTGGATCAGTAGCTGATGGTCGACCATGTCGAACGCTGCCGATAGGTCTAACAGCAACAGCACTGCCGACCTGCCTCGATCCAGGTGCCTCTGAAGGTCGTCCGTGAGGGGGACCAGTGCAGTCTTCGACCCATGTCCTTGTCAAAAACTGGATTGGAAGGGATCTAAAGTGGAAGTGACATCCAAAAAGCTCTGTAGCTGGACTGCCAGAGCCCTCTCAATTAACTTGCCCAAATAGGGCAAGTTGGAAACCGGCCAAAAGTTGGCCAATTCGACTGGATCCAGAGATGGTTTTTTCAAGAGGGGACGGACCACTGCCTCCCTAAGTGCCCCAGGGAACAGCCCCTCCAAGAAGCCTTTTTGCCTTTTAAGGCTTCCTTGACTTGGGTTGTTAAGCATGCAAGCATCGTTTTAGACCAGTTGGTACCTTTCCTGATTTGAGGCATGCATTCTCTCTGGGCCTCAGCACAGTTTTAAATGGTTTCTAGGTATCCTGCAGGGATCTGACCCCCGGGACCATAGCCAGGTGTGCAGATGGGTGTGCCACCCTCTTGCTAATTTGCCATGCACCCTACCCCTGGTCATCCCTCCCAAATCCTACCACTACCTTCCCTCAGCCAGGAGCTCCAGGAACTGTGCCTCCACCCAGCACAGCTGTCTCTGAAATGCCCTGGGTGCCTTAATTTAATCAACGTCGCTGATTTGATTAATCTTTTGCATTAGGATCCCCACCCCCCTCAGCCCTCCATTTTCCTCAAATGGCCCTCCTTTACTTCCCTACTCTCATTCTCAAGTTCTCGCCCTCTCCCTTCAATATTTCTCCAAGAATTTACCACGCCATCCCTTTGGTATGAATCATTCTGAGCCAGAGGCTCTCCGGCCCCTGCTGGTTTCCCCCCAGAAGTTAATTTGAAAGCTGTTCTGCCATCTTGTTGATATTGTGCCAGCAGTCTGGTTCCCTTTTGGTTCAAGTGACGCCAATCTTTTTTGTACAGGTTTGGCTTGTTCCAGAAAGTTCCCCAGCTACTGCTGGTCAGTCTCACTTTCACAATAGTAAACCATCTCAGAATGCCTGCAATTTAATAATAGTTTTAAATGTGTAAACGGTACATCAAATATTTGTTGAAAGTGACTTTATTCAGTGTGGCTACTTTATTCCCTTCGTGAAAAACAATACTAGTAGGGATTGTGTAGTAATTTCCTGTTTTATTTGGCTTCTCATCCGCAAGTGGCTGCTGCTGCTTCAAAGTCTTTTCAGAAACCTGATTATTTATTTCCTAAAAGACAAGCTGCCTTAGCAAGACAAGCCATTCAATCAAATGCAGCATTCCAGAAATAATGTTTTGAAAACTGAAGCTGTGTTGTGAAGAAGCCCTTTACGTTGCTGCCAAGAATTCTTTTCCCTGGTCACCATTAGCATTTATTGTATTTTTAAGGAATACTTTTAATATACATATTTATTTGTTGTAGGTGTTAACTTTGTTTTGGCTTAAAATGTTTCTAAGTGATACTCTCTGTTTCCATTTTCTGCTGAGGGCAAGCATTGCTGGTCTTTTTTTCTTTTTCTTTTTTAAGGCAAGCTCTCCAGGTATTTGTCACTCAGTCCAGTTAATAAACTGTTACTGCTGTATACTTATTCAGAAGTAGACTTCATTGTATTCAGTGGGGCTCACTCCCAAGTAAGTGGGTTTATGTTTGCAGCATAAATTCTGCTTGCTCTTAATTATGGTTTTACAACTTCAGAAGGGCTTCACTGAAGACAATAGAATTAAACAAGAGGGGACCCACAAGAAACCATCTTATTTCTACCATCTTTGATTCCTCCTCTCTCCCTCCATTTCCTGCCTCTTCCCTGCTGCATTGGCTGCCACTCACCTGCCCCCCCCCCCCCCAGCCGTGCCGAAGCAGGCTCACTCCTGCAATGGTTCCGGGTTTTCCTGCCCCCGGGAAAATCAAGTATTTTCCTGGCACTTGCGCTTTGAATGCGCAATTTCACCCATCTGGACAGCCATCTTTCGCAATGATTGCGATTAGGGCGATCTGACCGCTCTTTGTGCGATT